GTGAAAGCTGAAGGTCCTGAGTTCAATCCCCACGAGCACAAAAAAAAAAAAAAAAAAAAAAAACCAAAGTGTATTCAGTTTGAAGTGGTATCTTTTTTTCTGACATTGTAGCTTTTTAATTTGGAGGATAGAAGTATTTAAAGGCTCTTAATCTTACTTTATGATAGAAGATAAAACTAAGTATCATTTGAAGTGGCCTTATCCGGCAAAAGGAAAAGCTGGCCAACCAATGTCCCAAGCATATGAACCTCTGTGAACCAAGTCCAGGAACTACTGCCCTGTTACCCAGCAGCCTTCCTGTCCCCATATGACAGCAGGCTTCTGCTACTACTCCTGGTTCAAACTACACAACAAAACATACTGCAGTCCATCTATCTGTATCTGTAATCACCATATCTTTGAAGAAGAAGCTTTTGAGTCAAGCCATTCCCAATCCCTCCCCCTCCAGCAAACCCACAGAGCCTTGTCTGTGCCCCTTGTTCCACTGATCTTATTCTTCCTCAAGTTATAGCTACTTGTACCCTGTCCACCCTGGTACCCCCTAAAGTGGTTACAGAACAGAAGAAAGAGCTGCGGAATTGATAGCCTATTGGAGCTTGAAGAACCCATACAGATCACAACATCTGACTCCCATTTTGCAGGTGTGGAAGAGCAAGGGGCCTGACCTCAGGTCACCCAGTGAGCTAGAGTAAGGACCCAAGTCTCCTGACTCCTCGGTGCTGGCTCCTTCCACTGAACCAGGCTGCCTCCCAGACACTCCTTTTTGGTTGACTCAGCACCTCAATTCAGAGGACAGTGCTGGGCATGTGACAAACATTTCATAAATATCCATCCTAAGAGATGCAAAACAGCCTGGGGAACACAAGCCTTCCCCTCCGCAAGGGCCCTCTGTTCCAACCTGAATCAAACCTCACTTCACACCAGCTACCCACCAGATGAAGAAAGACCCCTCAGGCCCCGGTGGCCTAGATGTAGAAAGAGCCCACGTGGTTCAGAAAAGCAGTCCTCACTGGACAGAGTCATGGCCCACTGGACAGAGTCATGTTGAATAATCTTAAGTAAATGCCTCCACCCCTCCAGGTGGATCTGTTCCTCCAAACAGGTGGAATGCTGAGAGGAACCAGGAGGGAGAATTCCCCAGCCCTACTGGATGGTTATAGGCACTAGACAGGCTTTCCAACAGTCCTGCTTCTAGAAGTCTCTAAAGATAGGGAAGGCATTGGTCTGCTTGGGACAAGTGGATAGTTCAGTTGGAACTGTGCCGCAGAGTGAGTTTGGGTGGCACCTCACTCTGAGGTCACCTTCTGAGAGGCTGGGGACAAGAGCCAATAAGTCTTAGTACTGCTTGGAAATATTCAGGCTGTCCTATTATGATCATCACTATTATTAGTTCAATACTCAGTATAGGAGATCATTTCTCCAAAGCCTCCCTGACCCACTGGGTAGGGTAGGGAAGACCACCTCCCATCCTGTCTCTGTTCCCCCTGCACCTATATCAGAATGCCTCACAACTCCTAGACATCTTTTCATTCCTACATATTTGGTTATCTTTTTTCTTCTGTTAGATATGCATCCTGTGCACTTGGCCCACAGCCTGGCTAGAAAGTAATAACAAATGCTGAGCAATGTTCAGCAGGACTAGGAATCCCCTCCACCTCAATCCCTGAATAAGTCACAACTAGGCTTTTAGATTCAGGTGGAGCATTCTGCCCATTTGACGGATGGGGACACTGACCCTCAGCGGGACACTGGCTCACCCGAGGTTACCCAGCAATGGGAGGGCTCAGACTAAAAGCAATGCCTTGACTCTCAGTTCAACCCACTTCCAGCTACACGTTCTTCAGGTTCTACAACACGTTAGCTGTACAACCCTGGGCAAGACCCTTGGCCTGTGTGCTCTGGCTTCCTCTCTTGTGAAATGGGTAAAATGATACATAGGGACTACATATTCAGATGGCTTAGAAGTAAATAATTGAACACATGTAAAACAGAGCACAGCACACAGGAAGCACTCAAAAAGTGTCTGTCATGGCTGTCATTTGGACCCAGTCATTCTCCTTGGTAAAGGGGTGCCCACCACCCATCAGCAAAATAGAGCTCATGGTAAAAATTCTGCAGCCTTGACTCACACACTCTGCAGTTCTATCCGGCAAGTCCTCTGCAGTAATCACTTTGGGGAAATCCTTAATCTCTCATCATGAATCCTACACATCTTTCCTGGCTGTAAGTCCCTCTGCCTGTACACACAACTCACGTGACAGCACGGATGTATGTGGAGGCAGAGGAACCTTTGGAAGGGCACGTGCTTCCAAGTCAGACAGACCAATAGCCCTACCACTTCCACCTTAATCTCTCTAAGCCTCAGTCCTCTCATTTTCAAATAGGTACAACTTGTTATGAATATTACCTGCAATAGGTAATGGTCTGGGATTCCATAAATTTTAAAAAATCCACTTAAGAGGGGCTGGTGGAGTGGCTCAAGTGGTAGAGCACTTGCCTAGCAAGCATGAAGCCCTCAGTTCAAATCCCAGCACTATTGCCCATATATATATATATATATATATAATTTTAAAAGTCTACTTGACAAAATTCAGAACCAGAAGGAATCTTGGGGACCAACTAGCCCAGTCTCTTCAATATGTAAGATGGGGATGTAGAGACATTGATTATCCCAAGGTCATACAATGAGGCAGTGGGCCTGGGACCCAGGTCTCCTGACTTTTTACCACCTGTCTGTTTTGGCCCATGTCTCTCCCCTCCCTCATATGCAGCAGTGGCTGCAACCACTCTTCCCAATCCTCTTCCCTTCACAGTCATCTCTTATACTGGCCAACCCCATCTGGACAGCTGTTTGTCAATATCACCCTCCCCACCAGGCATATCTAGCTCCTTTGGCCCTTCTCAGGAGTCCTAGAGGAGCAGGAAAAATACCTGTCAGTCACTGGCAGTGGCAATAATGACAGTATTAGTGACAACAATAATGACAACAAACATTTGTATAGTGTCCTATATTTGAAAGTCTTCTCACCTATACATAAACACATTGTGGTTTCTCCCCAGCTTAGTTGGCTTGGGAACATTGCCTCCTCAAATTTATTCAGTTCAATGCTATTAAGCACCTACTTTGTTCCTAGCCATGGGCCAGAGAGAAAAATCCTGGGCCTCTGCAGAAGGAGCTCACAGTCTAGTGGGGATTTAGGGCAGAGGGGGACATGATGATTTCTTTCAGCCTGTATGATACAGCAGCAAAATGCTTTGCTCCACCCTATGGGGGACCTCCTTTATCTTGCTGTCAAAAGGCAGAAGGTATCTCTGGGATAAACTAGAGTAAGAAAGGCTGGGTGGTGGGCTGAAAAAATGACAGCAGAAAGGAGATGAATAGGAAGTATGGGCACCAAAAACCTGAGTCCCTCATTTCAGGGAGAGTGGAGAGAGGGGTTCCTAGGGAGTCAAGAGAGCAGCAGTGGGATTCATGTGAAGTCTGGGAGCCTTGGTCTCTGTTCCTCGACCAGCACACAAGATATGGATGCCTCTGTTCTCCCTTAGGAACTCCGCCCATGGATACTAAGGGTTCCCAAACCCAGGGCTGGGCTGTACATGCCTCCTTGGGACCATCATTTGCTAAAATGATGTCATGGCTCTTGCAGTGGAAATGTTTGCATCTCCTGGCTGCAAACCTTAGCCTGGTGGCCCAAAACACTCCAGCATTCATTATCCCCTGGTAGGGACACTTTGCAGGGATGTGGAAGAAATTGGCAGGGGAGGAGACTAAAGGCAGCCCCCCAGCACCTTCCAGTCTATCTCCTAAGTCTTAAATCCCTGAGAACCTACTATGTGCCAGGCAAGGCACTATTTCAGGGGGTTCCACACACATCTCATTTAACCCTCACAATCTCTGAGGCAGGTACCCTATGCCCAGGTTTACAGGTGAGGAAGCTGGAGCTTGAGGACAGGAAGTAATGTGATAGCACAGGGATGCCACTAGAGTACTGTCTGATGCCTCCAGTGCCAGGAGGCCCACAAGGTCAATCTTTCACTTGAAAAGTTCAAAGTTGAATGAAAGAGATCAGTCAAGGAAACCCCAATTTCATGGACCTAAATTTCAATTGTTTCAGTATAGGGGTCGCCCTGACTCATAAGAGCAGTTTGAGTGGCATACTAAAGTTAATTCAATTCCTGCATTTAACAGATGACCAGACAGACACCCGTGCCCAAAGAATTGTAAGATGGCTACTCGTAGTCAAATAGCAAGTTAGGGCCTGGAACCCCAATCTCTGGCACATTCTTTAAACTGCTCTGCCTGCAGAGATAATCTTTTTCTGGGAAGCTTCTCCAGTCCAGCTCAGCCTACACCACCAGATGGGCAGAGAAGGCCAAGGAAACAGGCAGCATGTGACCAGGCCTCTCCTTAGTCTGCAGGGTTGAGGCAGGGAATACAGGGCTTCCCAGCCTAGCAGGTGTTGCAAATGCCAGGCTCCCTGCTGAGGAGTGGGATCCCATGGAAGCTCTGGGGAGACTGAGGCACATCTCCTAACTCTAGGGGTCATGGGCATTTTTTCCAGATCTACTGGAGGGCCCTGATACTTCTCAGAGAGGAAAGCAGGAAGAAGGCAGTCATTGGCACTTGACCTTGGGGTGTATGTGGGGTTGGAAAAATAAGCTTACATGTTTGCCAAATACCAGAAGAGGAAGACAGGAATGGGGAAGGGGGAGTTACCTAAAAACCGTCCTAATCGCCCACCTTGGGCGTCTTCCTTACTGCAAGCAGCATCCTCTAATTAGTAAATTTCACGGCTGATGGGGAGGTGGAGTGGTGCTTAGGAGAATGCAGGGGAATGGAGGGAGGGTAGGAATGAGTCACGATTAATCCCTCCTCGGCTGGTTCCCCCTGAGGGATGCTACCGCAGCTAGCGGTCGCAAGCCGCCCCCAGCCGCCGCGGCTCAGCTCAGCGCCTCGCAGGCCCCTCCCGCTCCGCTCCGCCCCACCGCGGCCTCCTCACCTGAGACCACTCGCCCCCCGCAGTCCCGCCGGCTCGCACGGCTCCGGCCCGGCTTGGCGCAGCGCCTCTGCAGTCGCTGCTGCAGCCGCCCGGTCCCGATCAGCGACCTGCGGCGGTGGGGAAAAGAGACAGACAGGGGCGGGTGAGCGCGGCCAGGGGCGCGGGGGCAGCGGAGCCCTGGCCGCTTACCGCCTGGGCGGCCGCAGCCGTCACCACGCCAGCAGCGGGCTCCGTCCGCTCGTCCCCCCCTCCCCCAACTTGGCCCTTTGGGAGCGGCGGGCGCAGCTGGGCGGTGGGCCTGGAGACCCCCGGGGTCCTTGTCATCACCTGCGGAGGCTCTCATGGCTTTGGCTGCCCTGCCCCTGCAGCCCAGTTGCTCTCCAGAGCCCCTGCTGGAGGTGGCTAGCCGGGTGCTCTCCGGGGCTGGGGCTGCCGGGAGGGAGGGAGGAGGGCGGGGAGGGAGAGGTGGATGCAGGGGACCAGCCAGTCGGCGGCTCGCCGGCAGCTGCGTAAGCGGCCCGTCTTCACATTCCTTCTTAAAGAGATAGTTGGTGTCCTCCTAGAGGACCCAAGAGCGGAGAAACCCGCACGCTAGGAGGGGGTCTAATCCCACCTACACATCAGCTGGTGAGTGAAGCTGGGCGGTGGGGCGTGGCAGAGAGCGCTTTAGTCCACCGACAGGGTGCATGACCCTGGACAAGTCCGTCACCTCTCTGGGCCTCAGCGTTCTCATCTGAAACATGGAATAGTAATGCCAACCTCACTTTCTGTACACAGAATTTTATCTGAATGCCTTTGGAACATTTTCCACTCCCCAAAACCAAGTCTGAGTACCAGGGTTAATTAACGTGAACAGCACTTGGATTACTAAGCAAAATGATAGCAAGAATCTTAAATATCTGAGATCAGCAGTCACAATGTAAAGTGTTCATTATAGGTCTTTACTGTCTGCATTCCATCTGACACCATAGGGAAACAAAGGACCAAAAAGTCCAGAGAACTGGATTTCCACCTTCCTTGTGCAGCCTTTCTGCTTCTAGGTAAGTTAATTCACTCTCTGGGCTGGGTTTCTTACTTGACCCACATGGGGGTGTAGGAAGGGGCTCCCTCTTTCTGAACCAGCCCTATCAGTCATTCCTCTGCTCAAAATCATTTGCTGGTTTCTGTTGGCTCTGTCCTCCTCTTACCCCACCTCTGACTTCATCTTCCACAGCTCTTTCCATCACTTACTTGCTCCTATGGAACTGCCATCTTTGCTGAAGTCTCCACTTCTGGATGTGCTGTCCCCTTTGCCTGAAAACAAGCCAGACATCCACCTGGTTTGCTCCTTCACTTCCTCCAGCCTCTGCTCAAAGGGAGGCCTTCCTTGATCTTTGCACATGAAATACCAACTTCCCCTTCCCTCACTCTCTTTTGCCCTACTTTTGCTATACATAATTACCAGCATATTCATATAATCACTGCTTGTTCAATGTGTCACCCCCACTAGAATGTACATGTCCTCCCTATAGCTCTAGTACTTAGAACAGGGCCTAACACCTTGTAGGTGCTCAATAAATAATGGCTGCATGAATGAGAGAGTACAAATACACTATTCCAGGCCCCAGTTTTCTATAAGAACACTCAGCCAGATGCCATCCTGGAAGTGCTTTTGTCTGAAGTTTCTCAAGTCATTAAGTCTCTGTCTTCTCTTGCCAAGGCTAAACTTTCCCAACAGAAGACCTTGTAAAATAACTTCACTGACTTACATCATGACTCTTCAGTGGGTGAGAAATAGTTAATATTTATAATGTACATGAAGAAATCATTATTTTAAATTTCCTGTTACTTTTCAAAGTCAAATTTTTTCTACAGCTCTAATTTACAGTAAATCTCAGTTTTTTGCAATAAATGTCTATATATTTTTGTCATTAAAATTTTCCCTCTATCCAATTAAATTGAATTTTCCTATCATGTATCTATCATTTTCATACACATTGTGGAAAAACATGGCAGAGCAATCATAGTAGAAATAGAAAGTCATAGTTGAAAGGACATATGAAATGTTGAGGCCTACTGTCTAAAAACCAGATGCTGTATTAGCAAGTTAATTGATGAAGTGTTTTGTGTGCTATAATATACACATAAATTATATGTGACCTGTTTATACTTACAGCAAAACCAAAGAAGTCATGTAATCACTATGTTTAGCAAGAAAAAATTTCTGGAGATTGTTATAATTTTTTTTTGTCTTTCTCCCATGTTTTATTTTACTTGGTAGTTAGAAGACTACATTTCCCAGAAATCTCCTCCAAGAATGTCCCCAAAGCAAGAGAGCTCCTCCACCCACATTATTTCCACCTGGAGTGGAATAAGCCAGTGAAGAATTCTCCTGAGCATCAGAAAGCACTGAGAAGAGAATCAGTGTTTAGCTGTAATGTAAATTGCAGCAAATGAGGAATATAAGCATAAAACAAGATAAAATTATTCCAAAGAAATCAGTAATTTTGTTTTGTTTTGCAGTAATTAGGAAATACTTAAATTTCTTTTAGTTTCAAAAGCAATTTTCATTCCATTTCTGGGTAAGCACACATCTCTCACTGAATACAGCAATAAAACCTGTACAAAATACTTGTGGCAGCTCCTTGAGGATTCTGAAGAGAAAATACTGGCAGGCAAACTAGGGAAGAAGGCCAGGACTTGATGAAACACTGTGGTAGTGGTGAGTTTACTATTTTTGTTTCCTCTGATATTTCTCAGACTGGTTTCAAGACAGAGCAAACTCTGACATTGGGAATCAACACAGAGAGAGCTCCCAGACAATCCCCCCAGGTCCAATGTGAGGATCAGGAAAGGAGACTAATGCTTACAGTGAATGGGGGAAATAATTTTTCTTTTCAAATCTTTTCTCCATTTTCTTACAATCCAGTCCCCCAGGCAATTCTGTAGTAGAGGCTACGACAGCAGGAAGCCACAGGTACCTAAAACTCTGAGGGGGAGAAAGTTCTCTAATCAGAGTAGCTGTGGTCCTGAGGGCCCTGCTGACTTTTGTCTCTTTCGGTCCTCTGACCATCTGGCTCCAAATGCAGGTACAATTGTGGAAAGGAGGGAACAAAACAGAGCAGAACAAGTGAAGATCCAAGTTCCGGCTTCTTGGTGAACCCGAAAGAAGATAAACCAAATAATGATAATGATACAAACAATACTTTTCAGTTACTATTAAAAACTAAAAACCAAGAAAATAATCCTGAAAAAACAGTCAGAGAAAAATGATAAACTTTTTTATATAGGAATAATGATTTCAATAATTGTGGATTTCTCATCAAAAATGATGGAGTGCAGAATAAAATAGAACAAATTTAATAAACTGCCAAAGGAAAAGAGCTGTCAATCAGGATTCTATACCTAGCAAAGATATCTTTCAGGAGTGAAAGTAAAAGAAGGATAGTTTCAGATAAAGAAAAATTAAGAGAATCCATTGCCAGTTGACTTGCTTAAAAACTGATGAAGAAAGTTCCTCAGACAAGAGGGATATTTTGCCAAAAGGAAACATGGAACATCAGGATGGGAAGAAGGGTAGCAAAAATGGTAAATATCTGAGTAAATTTAACAGACCTTTCTTTTGAATTCTTTGAAATATGTTTTGACAGTTAAGATTGTTGAAAGCACCAATTATATCATTGTCTGATGGAGTTTTAATGTATATATTACATGTAATATGTTGGATCAGTTGACGATTGTTGAATTGGACTATTTCTGTCAGTTATGGGATGTTTGGAATTTTGTTTGTCTGATGATTTGTTTTCTTTATGTGTATTATTATTCATTTTGTAATTTTTTTAGTTGTAAGATACTACACTACAGGAGGAAATATAGAGGAACCTATATGATTAAAGATTATTATTCTTTCATCTTTGAGAGTAGTATTATTTTTTTTGTTGGTATTTTTTTTTTTTTTCTTATTTTTTAGTGAGTTGTATTTTGTGTCTTTTAAGTAAGTTTTTTAATGTAACAGTTACTTGTGAGTAGTTCGAGCGCACCACTAAATATGGTAATGCTAGAGACGATTTCTGTTACTTTTTGACTACTTATCAATGTTCAATTCTTATTTGTATTTGTTCAGGTTTTTTTTCATTTTTACTTTACTTGACGACTGTTTTTTGTCTCGTGTTACCATTTTTTTTTAAGTTATATTATATTTTGTTTTTTTTTTTATGCACTCATTTTTGGATTTTTTCATTCATCATGATTTTGATGGCAGATCCTTGTATTTGCTTAGGTTCTTATAATTCAAGTCTCTTATTCTTAATAGTTTATCTTATAGATATTCTAAAATTTATTACATATTTTAAAGTATTGGTTTCTCTGTTTGTTTGTGTAGCTACTTTTTTTGTGTTAAGAGGACTTACTGTGAGAATACATTTTTGTGCATATTATTAAATGTGTTCTGAGGGTGTTAAAACCATTCTTTTTTTTTTTTTTTGGATTTTTAAATTTTTTCAACATACTTTCTATAATAATCACTTTTTTGTTTTTTTTTTTTGTAAGTCAAGGAAGTAAGTACCAGCCAAGCACCAGTGGCTCACACCTGTAATCCTAGCTACTCAGGAGGCAGAGGTCAGTAATATCACAGTTCCAAGCCAACCCAAACAAATAGTGAGACCCAATCTCGATAAAAAACATCATAAACAAGGGCTGCTGGCATGGCTCAATGAGTAGGCCCTGAGTTCAAACCCCAGTACCACAAAAAAAAAAAAGGAAGTGCCAAAGAAGATTAGAAAATAATTTTAACTGAACAAAAGTGGAAAGACAACATATAAAAAACGTGTGATACAGTAAAGCAGTGCTCCGAGGGAAATATATAGCATCGGGTGTTTATATTAGAAAAGAAGGAAGATCACAAATCAATTATCTAAGATTTTACCTTAATAAAACCAGAAAGATAAGCACAAATTAAGCCCAAAACAAGCCAAAGAAAAGAAATAATACAGAAGCAGAAATCAATGACATTGAAAGCAGGAAAGCAGAAGAGAAAAATCAATGGAACCAAACATAGTTCTTTGAAAAGACCAATAAAATTTCTAGCCTGAGGAGCAACTGAAAAGAAAAAAGTGAGAAGACATAAGTTAACAATATCTGGAATGAAAGAGGAGTTATGATAAACTTCACAGACATCAAAATGATAATGAGGGCATACTTGAAACAACTACACAAACTCATCAATGTAGATAAAACAGACAGATTCCTTGAAACCACAAACCACTAACCTACGCAAATGAAGTAGATAACTGACAGTCTTACAACTATTTTAAAAATTGAATTCACAGTTTAAAACCTTTCAAAATATAAAACTCCAGATCTAGATGGTTTTATGATGTGAATTCTACCAAACTTCTAAAGAAGAAATAACACAAATCTACAGTCTTTTCCAGAGATGTATACCAGAAGTACTTTCCAAGTTACCTTATAAAGCCAGCACCACTTATAAAAAAACACAAAAGTACAGTACAAGGAAAGAAAGATACAAACCAATATCCCTATGAACATAAATAGAAAAATCTGTAATAAAATATTATCAAATCCATGTGAAAAGATGTTCATTTCCTTATCATTAAGGAAATGCAAATCAAAACCATGAGATACCACCTCATACTCACTAGGGTGGCTATAATTAAAAAGAAAAAGAGGGATAATAACAAGTGTCAGCAAGGATATAGAGAAGCTGGAACTCTCATACATTTCTAGTAGAAATGTGAAATGGTGCAGCTCTTTAGAAAATAGCTTGAGAGTTCATCAAAAAGTTAAACAGATTTATCATGCAACTAGCAATTCTACTCCTAGCTATGCACCCAAGAAAAATAAAAACGTACACAAGAATTTATTCACTAAAGTTAATAGCAGTATTGCCCATAATTCTAATGTAAAATGGTCTTTTAAAATGTCCTTGTATGTTTCTTGGAGGCATATAGTATTTTTAAAGTATATCCTAAATGTACCCTAAATGCAACATTCCAACCAGGGAAATGACAGATACTATACATTAAAATCAGCTAAAATTTTAAAAATGGCTTAGCTGTAATTAGGTATTTCTGTAAGCATACAGGTTTCCAGTGCTGGCTATGATTGTTCTGGCTTTCCAGAGAGGGAATATGAGGTCAGCCTATCAATGAAATGGATCAGACCTTCAGCTGCTTCCACATGGCATCTGCATTAAATCAAACAATCTATACAGAAATGCCAGTGCTGACATAAACCTGCATGTTCTGGACTTCCTTCACATTTTATAGAACATTGGTCCCACCATAGCTATAATATCTGCATAGGGAGCATGCTGGCTCAGCTCAATAGCCTGCTGTTTTTTTAGGACAAGCAAGCTATAAAATTTGGCTGCTGCTTGTTTTCGGTCACTGTTTCTGCAGAGCTCCTTCAGACTAAAGGACTGCATTCCCATCTTGTTGGATTCCTGGGAAAATAATTAGAAAAGATGAAAGGAAAGGGAAAAAAATTCATTAGAAGTAAAGCATTTTTGATAAGTGATTATAGGTCACTGAGCATAAGCTTGGTTCATTGAGCAAATGCATGCAAAAAAACCCTCAAAAGTGTTATATAAATTAACATATAATGCATTATACAAATGTTAGGTGTTTTTTAAAAAATGATGTTAACAAAAATACCTCCTATGGAAAGTGCAATTAGTCTAGAATTGCAGGCAAAAAAGAATTCACAGGACTTTGGGAGGCTTCAAATATAGTATCTTCTCCTTAAAGGCACTAGGATGAGGATGACTATAAAACAACCTTAATGCTAAGTGTAGAAGTCCATTTCAGTGGCAGGGAATTATAACTATGTAAACAATTCCTAGTTTCTTTGCACAGGTTAAAAAGAGGTCAGATTCATCATACACAATCTGTAGACCTACTAGAAATAATTGATTTACAATAAAGTATTTAATAATGAATGAAGATAACTCTTTTCACAAGAATTAGATCTTGGAATTAGATTCCTACAGAAGTGTATAATTTTTTGCTTTTTCTTAATGATACTGGGATTTGAACTCAAGGCCTCACACTTGCTAGGCAGATACTCTTACCACTTGAGACACTTTACCATCCCTCTTTTTGTGATGGGCTTTTTGAGATAGGGTCTCACAAACTCTTTGCCCAGGCTGGCTTCAAACCTCGATACTCCAATCTCTGCCTCCTGAGTACCTAAGATTATAGGTGTGGGCCACCATGCCCAACAGAAGTATACTTTTTTAGTTAGAAATACTGTAGTGACTGCTAGCCAGTATCCCTATTCCTATGGTGAAGCACTTTTAGAAATGTTCTTACAAATTTTTTCCAGTCTATAACACTTAACAAATTAATAAGTAAAATACTTCATTGTGCTTTCTCTCAACCAAAGTTGTGGCCCAGGGTCAGCGATCTTTCAAGAGATGGCATAGCCAACCTTCATTTCTTTCCTCCCTTGAAAGACAGATGTGGATTGGGTAGTTTAAAACCTTTCATAGGTTAAAACCTTTCAAAATACAAAACTCTAGATCTAGATGGTTTTATTGTGTGAATTCTACCAAACTTTTAAAGAAGAAATAACACCAATCTACAGTCTTTTCGAGAGAAGTATACCAGCACATTTATTAAAGAATTCTTCTGAAAAACCCTGAAGAACAAATAAATGAACTTATGTGCTTACTTTTTTCCCCTTTAGAAACCCTCTACAGTGAAGGTAAAGGAATAAAAAAGTGACAAGAGTGGCTCAAATGGTAGAGAGCCTGCCTAACAAGCATGAAGCCCTGAGTTCAAACCCCAGTACCGCTAAAAAAAAAAAAAAAAAAAAAGATGAAGAAAATGGAAGACATGAGTGACTTCATGATTTCACAGAGTAGAGAAAGCTGAAACCTAAGTCTCAACAGGAAGGAGAAGCAGCAAAAAGCAAGCCAATTTGAGGTATAGAACCTTGGAAAAACCGAGGAATCGGAGACATTAAACTGTCATGGGTAGGGATGAGGGTGAGACTGAAAACAGAATGTCTTGAGAGTCTACTTGAGAGAAGTTAGAACCTTGGAAAAACCGAGGAATCGGAGACATTAAACTGTCATGGGTAGGGATGAGGGTGAGACTGAAAACAGAATGTCTTGAGAGTCTACTTGAGAGAAGTTAGAACCTGTATCCACTCTTCAACCTCACAGAACCAGAGTACACAACAGGGAGCAAGAGGATTTCTTTTTGGAGATACCAACCATTGAAGCCTGGATGTGGAACACCACATTCCACTCCTGCACAGTGAAACAACCAGACTCTGCCTTACCTCCTGTGGCATCATGCTTGTATCTTCTATGATTTAATGACTGCTCTGAGAAAATCCACCACCCTTTGACTAATGTCATCATCTGGGGAGGGGGCAGTAGCCAGTTAACTCTCTTAAGACTGTGAGCCTACATAACAAGCCCTGCCAATGTGTACAGAACTTCCAATCAGTTTATTTTTGTCTCATCTTAAATAAAAACAGGTAACCAAGGACCCACCAGTCATTTCAGTAAAACCTAACTTTAAAGAGCAAAAATAAATGCATTTAAGAGAATCACTATGGAAAGAGATTACAGATAACAGAAGCAAGCTGTAACCTTTGAAGTTATGAGTTTTTCACTGCACCCATGGGAAATGATTAGGATGACAGTGAGAAAAAGCACATCAGTGGTTACTTGGAGACAGGGAATGGTGGCAATGTGTGAGGGATGGGACAAGGGACCATGAAGGGACACAAGGGAACTCTTAGGACTTTTAGATGTGTTCATTGTCTTAGGTGTGGTGATAGTTTCACAGGTATATACCTAAGTCAAAACTTATACAGTTTATTACCTAAGTACAGTATGCTGCACTTTAAACATGTACAGTTTATTGTATGTTAACCATACCTCAATAAACATTTTAAAAAACAAATAAATAAGATTATGATTCTATGAGATAAAGGAGTACTTAATAAAACAAAACAACAACAAAACTCTCAGAAAACAAAAGGTAAAAGCAGGTGAAAACAGAAATAAAAATTTCATAAAAACTGAAATACAAAGATGAGGTAATCTAGAGAGTGGGAAATATAAAGACAAAGGAAATTAACATAGAGGGTAAAAGATTTAAAAAAAGAGGAGTGATTTAGGACCCATCACCCTCCCAAGAGAACAGAAACAACAAGAAGAAAGTTCAACAATTAAAAAAAAAAACCCAGTACTCAAGAACATGAAATTTCTGATGAAAAGTACCCATTACATGTTTATCACAATAAAATTTTTAAAAAAGAACAATCATCATGAAATTTCATAGCACCAAGGAAAAAGAAAAGATCTAAAAGCTTCCAGACAGAAAATAAGGATCACAAACCAAAGTAGCACCTGACTTTTCGACAGCAACACAAGAATACTAGAAATGTTACAAAGCTTTCAACATCTGAGAAATTATTTCCAATTTATGTCCAGAGAGAACAATCAAGATCAAGGTAAAATAAACTTCCAGGCTTGTTTGCAAGGCCTCTGTTTCTATCCATAAGACACTATCTCAGGAAAGGATGTTAATCACCAAAACACTTAAAGGAAGAATAAAGCACAAAGAGACAGAGGTACAAAGAGAAAATGAAGAAATTCCCATGTTTATGGTAAAGAATGTCCCAGATAAAAGCTATGGAGAAGACCTACAGAGCAACTGGTTTGGATTAGAACAAGAGGATGATGGGCTCCAACAGGGTTACCTTTAAAAAAGATGAAATTGATGTATTTGATAGTGTATGTTAAAAGGAGTTTTATTATATTGCCAGAGAATTTAGAAACAGAATTAAGGATGTGTATATAAACATTAAGCAAATGGAAAAAATGAGGTAATAATGAATTCAAGCAACAAAACTGTAAATTTTACAAAAAAAAAAAGAAATGTAATTACCCTATGAAGCTTCAATATGAACTAGTTTTATATAATCTTTGTGGCAGAAACTGCTACTTGTACCTTAATATCCATTCTCTTCTTCTACAGTAATAGAATTATTAGCTGGGTCTAAGATTACTAAATCAGTGGTACATTTTCCAGCTAGATGTGGCAATGTGACTAAGTGCTGGTCAATTAAGTGTGAAAAGTGACACACACATTTTCCAGGTTGTGCCTTTAAAGATTTGCTGCTGATTGGAATATAGACATGGTGGGTAGTTAGATATTTTAGATCTTGAGAATGAGGAAAACAACAAAAATGGGAGCTGATTCCTGACAACTTTTCAAGCACAGCTGCATACCAGAGCCAATTACCTGAGAGAGAAATAAACTTTTATCTTTTTTAAGCCAAAGATTTTTTGGCTATCAGACACAATTAAAGCTGCACCACAACAATTATGATTATAACACTGTAAACACTGAATATTATGCTGCAAGTATACTGGGATGGGAAATATAACTAAGCAAAATTTTCATTTTCTGCCAAAAGAAGTCAATGGATTTATAGCTAAGCCAGGCACCGGTGGCTCATGCCTGTAATCCTAGCTACTCAGGAGACAGAGATCAGGAGGATCGAGGTTTGAAGCCAGCTCAGGCAAATAATTCGTAAGGCCCTATCTCAAAAAAACCCATCAGAAGAAAAGGGCTGGTGGAGTGGCTCAAGGTGTAGGCCCTGAGTTTAAACCCCAGTAGTGCAAAACAACAACAACAACAGCAACAAAACTATTATAAACTAAGTTCCATATTTAGAATTAGTTCATAGATTGCTGAAAATACTAATGGGATATAAAATACATGTCTGGGGACATTAGTACATTAGTGTGGATTAGAAGTTGATTAAAACCGACAGACACCAAACCCAAACTTCAATATTTAGCCCCAGGTAAATCACTCAAAATCATCTGACTCTAGTGGAATTTTGCCTCAATAAAAACATAGGAAAAGCTGTTTTATTTTCATAAATATCTAGGTGTTTAAAGTCCATATTTTATTTATTTTAAAAAATAGAGTTGCCAAATCCTACCACCTTACCCGTAATCTATTTAACATCTGAAGTAATCTTCGATTCCATCTCTGTGTCTCAAAATTTTGTTCACTTCCCAATGACTCCTGTTTGAATGATAAATATTTCAATAAAGCAAAATTTACTAAATACTTACTATTTGCCAAACACAGTGTTAGTCACTTCAAGAAACACAACTATAGTACTGAGCCCTGACAAATAAAGAGTTTATAGTTTGATAATGGAGAGAATAAAACTAATGCAAATATAGATCAACTTGTGCTGGGTTACATCTATACTCCCCAGGCGGTCTTCTAATAATGAGATCCAAAGTAGAAGATTCTGCTGTCTTTATATTGGTGATGCATTCCAGAGCATTATGCTGTCATGTACTTTGAAAAGTAAAGTCAGCAAAGACAGCCACTTTTGGCTAGGACTATCTTAGTTCTGGTCCATCTGAACTCAGTTGACAGGAATATATACAAAGCTATAGAAAAACTGCATTGTAAAGGCCTTTATCTGAACTGAACTGGTGATATAGAGGATCTAAAAAGAATTGGCATTTAGTAGTTTGTGACAATTTGTTTAGAAACCTTTTAGTTTTCAAGGGTGTTTTATGCAAAAAAAGGTTAACTCACTGCCCATCATGTGAGTTAGCTGAATTGGTTCATTCTTTTCAGTCTTTAAAGCTTAACCACTTCCAGAAATACATCAGTATTTAAAACTGCAAAGTTGAAATCCCTTTATAAGAACTCATCCTAATCCTTTATGAACTAATACCTTATGAGTTGAGAACAGAAACTGGGCAAAGGAAAGTTGTGGATCTTCAATCTGATGAAAGAACAGGCCTACAAAGGCATGGGGGCAGGGAAGTGGCACAGATCAGACCATTTTATCATGTTTCTTAGGCTAGCTCTAACCATACCACCCAACAGTATCTGCATCACCCCTATCACATGTTCACTGCTTGTCTAGCTTTGTGCAAAGCTTTCAATTTCATGGACTCCAAAGTGATTTCAAAAAGCTCCAGAATATTCTGCCTGACACTTGAAATTATTTGAGGCTAAAGGGACTCTTTGAATCCAGGAATTGCTGAGTCCCCATTCCCACACTATACTGACTTCCTAGCACTGCCTATGCTATATCTTTTCTTACATCCCAACAAGATTGTTTTGAAAATATGGTCACTTTTTTTCTGAAGAATTTTCCAAATCTTTCAAATCACAATTTATTTTTATTCCCTTCTGATAAATTAGTTCATCCACTTATTCATGTTTATTTCATTCTTAAATATTGTTAATACTTCTGAAATGTAAAAAAACTCTTTATTAAAGATCCATGAAAATGTAAATTCACTACAACACACAACTGAATTAACCAGAAAAAAAAAAGCTCAGAATAAAGAGTCTGTGTATTTTGCTAATGCCTGTCCATTTGATCTATGTGAACACCCTACAACCGAATCCATTGTTTGGAAAGCCAGTATATTATGAAAATGGCTGAACTTGTTCTGTGTTGTGATTTGCTTAACCATGTAGAAAATAAACTGTGTCTAAGGGAGCAAAAAGAAAGGTGGAAATGAATAACTCACCCTGGCTCAACTGTGTGGATGTTTCAGGTAAAAAGTTCAGGCTATTTATTCTGTCCTAGATTATCCAGAGAATTCAGTCTGTTTTCTATGTATGTAAAAACAATCTAATAGTCTTGGAACAAATTATAAAGACAACTTGTTAAAAACAAGTTAACATCAGGCATTAGTAGGTGTTTTGATATTAATTTACTAATTTCTTACTATTTTAAAAATGTCTTTAGTACTCCAGGATAAGGACTAGAGAAGCCAGAAATACATAGGGAGTTGGGTGAATCGACTTTACTCCTGTCTTTGAATCAACATGTGGCTTTTTTTTTTTTTTGGTGGTACTGAGGGTGTTGAACTCAGGGCCTTGAGTCTACTAGAACTTTTTGCTCTGGTTATTTTGGAGATAGAGTCTTTCTTTTTGCCCAGGCCAGTCTGGACCAGTATCCTTCTCTTTTAGGCTTCCTGCCTGGCTGGAATAACAGGTACACACCATCATGCCCAGCTTTTTCCTGTTGAGATAGGAGTCTCATGAACTTTTCTTGCCCAGGCTGTCCTTGAACTTTGATCCTCCTGATCTCAGTCACCCAAGTAGCTAGGATTATAGACGTGACCCAGCAGTTCCTGGCCAACATGTGGCTCTTTGAGCAGATCATTTTCTTTTTCTTATTTTTAGAAGTCTTGTACAAGATATAGGCCTTGAGCCATATAAATTTTTTTTTTACTCTTTTTTTTTTTTAATGACACTGGGGCTTGAACTCAGGTCCTTACTCTTGCAAGATAAGTGCTCTACTATTTGAACTATTCCACCAGTCGAGCCATATAATGTTGAGAGAAAAAAATGTCCACGCTAATTTGTGTGTGATTTTTTTGTGCATGATTTTTTGGTGTTTTTTTGAAACAAGAGTCTTGATACGTAGCCCAGGCTGACCTCAAACATGGATCCTCCTTCCTCAGCCTCCCATGTGCTGGGATTATAGGCATGTGCTACCATGCCCAGATTCTATTTTGTAAATAAAATTAAATTTCAAATGCCCCAGGCTATACCCTTAATATAGTATGATTTCTCTAGAGATAAGGCTAACTTAACATCTGGCTCAGTGGGGCACACAGACTGGACAGGCTGAGGAAGAACCAGACTTGGTATGGCTTGTAGCTATAACAGGGTCTTACTGCAAAGGAAGGGCCCTCCCCAGTACTCCATGCTGAAGATGGATTGTGGAAGGTGAATACTAAAGCCTTTCATACAAAAGGCTTGTAAGTGATAAAATTGTCAAGAGTAAAGAATATTGACCAATCCAATGCCATGAGCAAGTACAGAGGCATACTGACAGTAGCTGCCCAGGTCATACCAGTCCCCATTGGGACAGTTCATCCTGGAGTTAAGCATGGGGTGACTGCCTACCCTCCCTAGTCCAGATGTACCAGAGATGGGGACCAAGGGGAGTGGACCCCAGGCTAAGAATAAAGCTGTACATCATGTCATTTGTCATTGTTTCTTGGGTATGTGTGAATTTGAACATTTGTAAGGCTTGTGATGATCATATTACATGCAACAAAACAATTTCCTGATGCTTATATTTAAAAAAAACCCACAATAACTTAAAAGTGTGATTCTCAACATTTTAAAACCCATCACCACTTTTGATAAGCACTAAACTCACTTTCCTTTAAAATTATTTGAAGTGTCAAAGTAAATTAAGAAATACAAAAAAATCACAGAAATTGTGCATTCTTTTTAAGTCTTAGTAAGGACTTATTTTAGTGTAATAAGATTTAAAAGTATGGAGGAAACAGCACCTCCTGGTAGAAGTGCAGGAGTGCGAAACAAGGTCTAAATTTTATTCTCTCTTTCCCTCTCTCCAGGGTCTTGCTATGCAACTTAGGCTGACCTTGAACCCATGATTCTCTTGCCTCCGCCATCTGAATGCTGGGGTCACAGGCATATGTCACCATGCCTGGCTAAACTTATCTGCTAGAATCACGAATTTAAATTATAAATTTAGAAACTAATATAAAAACCAATTTTAGACAGCTCTAAAAACCAATTTTTAGTTAAATATTTAGGAACAAAGTTTTAGAGACTATCCCCAAGAGTATGCATGTATTTACCAATTCGACTGGACAATTTTCTTGGGCCAAAAAGTCATTCACTAAAGATGATTCCTCTGCAGCAGGAGAAACCATTTCAATAATACCCTGCTAAGGCAAATTAGAAAAAGACAGGTAGTTCTATTGGTGGTTGTAACAGGAATAATGCAATTTTGTTAAATGCTTTTATCACGTAAATGCTCATTTCTCAAAACTAAAGTACTACCTACATTCACATAATATTATTTCTGAGCTATCCCAGATAGGTAGTATCTAACTTAAATATTCCTTTTTTCCATATGCCCTTCATAAATGAAGAACTTACACACCCCTTCCCTCTTTGCTTCCTATCCTTTTCCTTCCTATTTCCCTCTCTGCTGCTGTGCTGCAGTACTCACTTCCATTTGAAGCATTTTTTCTAGCCCTAGTCCCCTACCTCTAGTCTCAGGTAAGTAAGTACCAAGTAGCCCAGGAAAGAGACCTGCAAAGAGCAAGCAGAGGGAGTGAGAGTGAGGGAAGGGGTATTACCATCCCTACCGAGGGCCATGACAGGATTCCTGCTCCCACTGCTGTGGCTGACAATAGCTAAGAAAAAACTGTATCCTCTAAAAGACAGCAAACACACCAAGGAAGAGGGAAAAAGAGAAAGCCAGAAATGATCCATTCCCTGCTATCTCCTCCCTGTTAAGTTATTATGAAAGCTGTTGTCTCTTTTCACCTTCAACCTATCTCCAGGCTTCATTCTCCAGTTGCCATCTCTGACCTTAAAAGCTTCCTCTAACATAACTCCCTTGGTTTTTTTACTTCAGCTTTTAAAAATTTTAATGAATATAAGGAGTTGTATTTTATTCTTTACGTATTTGTGGAGCCTTCTTATGTTCCCCCTTAATCTGTGAACTTTCTACATTTTACATATTCTCAAATTTGTAGTTACTATATATAGAAATTCTGTTTTATGATGATTTGAAAATGATTAATCAGAATCAACATCTTCCTGTCCCTTCAAACTGATTATGCTCCTATGCTTCACTATATTTCACATTTGTCCACCATTCTGGGAGCAATGGAACTGAAGGTTGAAGCATAGCATAGGGTAAAGGAATAAAGGTTCAAAAGAACTAGTACCTTGACCTTTTTTCTTTGTCCTATTTCAAGTACATGGGAAAATATATTTTGTTAATATATCTGTGATAACTGCCTCATATTTTCCTTCCAGAAATCATAAACTAAAAAATATTGCTTAATCATAATTTCAGTAAGTGCTATCAAAGAAATGCCCAATCTCAAATGAGGAAGACAGTACTGGCATTATTATAATATCCAGTATATTATTTAGTAAATATTTAGCAAATAGTATATTATTTAGTAAATATTATTTAATGCAGTGTGAAACTGTCTTCCCTCCTGAGATGTTCAATTTCAATATAGGTTAACTTTGAATTGAGTGGTTATCAAAATACAGTGATGATGACACAGACCAGAAAAGCACTGGTTGTTATTTTTATTTAGTATGACTGCAATATTTACATATGTACAATCAATAAAGTGCAAATTGAGAAAATATTTTAAAGTACAATGTTTCCAACTATGTTTTCAAATAAAAATTACGTTTTCAAACAAAATTTTAAAAGAAGTTTTGCTTTGGTCATGGACTTTTAGATAGTTCTTCAGATTAAAGATTGAGAAAGTTGGCAGGTCTAAAACATATTTATCCTAGGAGTAGACGGATGGATTTATGATGAGAAACAAAACATAGGTTTATTGGCTAGAGTCTTAAAAGACTCCATAGTATATTAATTAGGGGGCCTAGTAGATTCTTAGCAGATAACCAGATTCAAGCACAGAAATCATTCATTTAATGTATCATACGAAATACTGTTTCAGTGTGAAATGACTTTATCTTGTGATTTAAGACATTTTTTTCTATAGAATACTGTCTTGCAGATGAAAATCATGTATTATCCTTCAGTGCTCTTACTCACTAAAGAAACAGCAGAACTATATGAGATGAACTATGGACTATAAGTGTAAGAAGACACATCAGATTCCTAACATTCCTTCACTATAGCTGTGTCATAAGAATATTTATATGACTCTGATTATCTTACCTCAGTGCTAACATTTTTATTGGTATCCTCATGAGAACTACCCTTAGATTTGTCAGTCACATTCTTCCAATTTGGGGCTGATTTAACTCTTGCAGGCAATTTGGCTCTTCCATCATGAAGGTCTCTGAATTATCAAGGAAGTAAAGAATATTTCACCAAGATACTTTTCAAACTTTAATAAGGATTTTCGGTTGTTACTAAAGAAAACTTCTGACAGACAACTTAAAATCCAAGATTTAAGCCAAGGTGCTCAAACTTTCCTATGGTTGCCTTTTTTGACTTCTTCACTTCCATCCTCTGCCAACCATTCCCTCCACACTCACACGTTTATTCATAAGACAGCACAGAGAGTTCAAGATCATTGTGGGATATTGTTCAGTACATTTTAATGCCTTCAAGAAAAGTGACTGAGGTAACTCACTCACCACATAAGTTGGTTTTATTACTTTATAGTAGTCACAACAATAATCAGTGATTATTAATAATCTATGAATCCTCTGGGTAGATGGCAGTATCTATGTCTCAGGTCAACTGTATTGTTTAAATACTGTTCTTATCCCTATTTTATTTTTTGTTTTGTTATTTTTGTTTTGTTTTGGTGGGACTGAGGTTTGAACTTAGGGCTTCTTACTTGCAAAAGAAATGCTCTACCACTTGAGCCATTTTTACTCTGATTGTTTGGGAGACGGGATTTTGCAAACTATTTGCCCAGGCTGGCCTTGAATCTCAATCCTCCCAATCTCAGCCTCCTAAGAAACTAGGATTACAGGCATGAGCCACTGGCACTTGGCTATGTTTAGTTGTTTTAAAGTGAAACATTATCTTGCTAGATAAAAAAGATTTTCTTTCTTCAAGGCTTGTGCATACTGCCTTTGGAGAAAGGAGAGTGAGGAAGAGGAAGAGAAAAAATGGTCTACAGAGTATATATATTTCATTTTAGGGGGATACTGGGCGTTGAACTCAGAGCATTAGGTAGGTGCCTTACCACTTGAGCTATGCCTTTAGCCCTTTTTGCTTTGACTGTTTTCAGATAGGCTCTTGTTTTGCCAGCAATCCTCCTATTTATGCTTCCTTCAGTAGCTGGGATGACAGGCATACACCACTGTCCCCAGCTATTAGTTGAGATGGGGTCTCATAAACATTTTGCCCAGGCTGGTCTGGAACCAGAATCCTTCCAATCTCTACCCACTAAGTACATACGATTATAGGCACGAGCCATGAGTACCTGGCTATTTTGTCTTTTAAATGAAGTCTCTGGGGAAAAAATTAATCCAAAAAACCCCCAGAAAAATGCTATATTAAAGTAACTATTTTAAGTTAAAATAATCTTCTAGAGATTGTATTTACACTTGAAAATACTGAAATATAAAATACTGAGATGTTTGCTTCCACCACATTCTTCTCAACACCAACAGGATTAAGAAGTCTCACCTACTATGTTTTGGCTTCCCACTTCTTCCCTTACTGATTCCTTTTGTATCAATTTTCTTCCAAGTTTAAAGCCAGAAGATAGAAGGCATTTTGCAAACAACTGCAAAAACATACATTTTTATTTTTGATTTTTGTAAAGTGATATAATAAAACAGGTATATATGCTATAAAGTAAAAGCTGCAATTCATACACACATATTCAACAAATTTTAGAATGAAGGTTATTTTTTCACCAGTTCAAGTTTTGTTGTAAATGTGGATTGATTTATTTATAAACAAATATTGCACTTGTATCAAAGGATGGAAACTATTACCATTTTCAGTTCAGCATGAATCAAATCCTGGGCTGCAGTTGACAGAAGTGTATCCACTCCTCCCCTCTTCTTCCACATCATTAATCTTTGTGTAGGAGGTGCAAGTTCCAATATCATAAGTGTGTCAGCAAAGGAGGTAAGTTGTTTATGCATAATTTTACTATTGATCTCCTTGACTGGATCTATAAGCAATCTCCTCTTTTTGCTTTTCCTTTTTTCAGCAATGTCTAAATACAAGGAGCATAAATGTGATTGGTTGTACAGCTTTGTAAAATGAGATTCTAGGTAATGCATATCTAAGACATGTGCACCACAATACAACCTGCATTGCATTGGGAAGAAAATCCTTCTAGTGTCTGAATATACATACAGTTTGCAATGTTTTTGCACAGATAGAGTGTCTGAGCAGCCAAGAGCTCATACTTTTTTTTTTTTTTGGCAGAGGTCGGAAAGATTTTATTTGTAGAGAATTTAGTTGGAGAAAAGAGAAGAGAAAGACTGCATATTGGAGAATGCAGGGGGACCCGGAAACCCGTGATCCCCGAGCTCATACATTTTTAAGGTGTTGCTTGAAAGTGCTTAGGACAGACTTTGTTGACCTGCTATGTGAACAACTGAGGAAACATGGAGCAGAGCCCCTACTTGATAGGGAAGTTAACCAATCAGGAGGTTCCTTAAAATGCCTATGAAAGAGGATAATTTTTGAAACATTAATTTATATTTTCCAGTGTATTTTTCCTTCCCCACTGAAATTTATATATAAATTCAAAATAAGTATCTAGGTTTATGGGATTTAACTCCTTTAGGGAATTTTACTGGGCAGAAAACAGAAGTCATATTAATTATATGACTTATAACTAGAATTCTCCTAAAGGATCTTGTTATATATTAGAGTCATATTTATTGTTTATTCCTGAAAGCATGTTTTTTTTTTTCATTTTTCTTTTATTATTCATATGTGCATACAAGGCTTGGTTTATTTCTCCCCCCTGACCCCACCCCCTCCCTTACCACCCACTCCACCCCCTCCCGCTCCCCCCCTCAATACCCAGCAGAAACTATTTTGCCCTTGTCTCTAATTTTGTTGTAGAGAGAGTATAAGCAATAATAGGAAGGAACAAGGGGTTTTGCTGGTTGAGATAAGGATAGCTATACAGGGCATTGACTCACATTGATTTCCTGTGCGTGGGTGTTACCTTCTAGGTTAATTCTTTTTAATCTAACCTTTTCTCTAGTTCCTGGTCTCCTTTTCCTATTGGCCTCAGTTGCTTTAAGGTATCTGCTTTAGTTTCTCTGCATTAAGGGCAACAAATGCTAGCTAGTTTTTTAGGTGTCTTACCTATCCTCACCCCTCCCTTGTGTGCTCTCACTTTTATCATGTCTGAAAGCATGTTAAATGTTAAAGGGCACAATGTCTCTCTGTCTCTCTTTTGATCCTGTCTTATGTTCACTTGCATGTTTACTTATCTTGATCAAATTGGAACATTTTGTTGTTTTTTTTTTTTGAGACAGGGTCTCACTATGCAGCCCAAGCTGTCCTCAAACTTGCTATATAGACCAGACTGGTCTTGAATTCATGATTCTCCTGCCTTAGCTTCTTGAGTCCTGGGATTACAGGCATGTGCCACCATGCCTGGCATAGATTGAAACTTCTTAAAGTCATGAACATATCTTTCTCACTCCTGTGCCTAACACAGAGTAATGTCTCAATAACTTATTAAACTGAAATCTACTTAACTTTTTCATTTTCCCAAATTAGACATATTATTTGAACAGGACTGAATATAATAAAAGAAACATCTCAAACTTCCTTCATGTTCTTCTTCCATTGTATAACAAATGTTATTACGAGACTGATTACTTTTTATAATATTCTGTGGATTATTCACATATCCCAAGGAAAATAAGAGAGTATTATATCAAAGATAAAAATAAAACATGAATGCCTCTGACCTGAAATATCAATTGGGTCAAGAGTAAATCCTTCATCTTCATTTGATAATGTTGGTTCACTCATTTTTTCATTTTCAGGTAGACATATGTCATCTGGATTATCTGGTTCTACTAATTAATAGCACCAAAAAAGTAATTGTAAAATCACGTAGCTATAGTGAAAGCTAGAAGACTATATGAAAATTAAAGTGAAAACTAATTAAAGAATAATATTGCTAACTGAGGCCATATCTGAAGTCTTAGAATTATATATAAAATAGAGGCATAGAGGCTCAGTTATATGCTTTGGGACCCATGGCATTTGGGTGAGTCAAGTATATCACTCTCTTTTGCACATGAGGTATTTAAGGCTGGGTGACAGTCATATTGGAAGTGAAAGCAGTGGTAGCAACTTGAGTAAATAACAGTCATAAATTTGATATATCTGCTGAAATATTTATATCTTGTTGAACCACTTATCAATTGACTCATGAAGGTTCATAACTAAATTTTTATTGTCTCTTTACATTTTCAATTTCTATTACTGTGTTAGAAAGCAAATATAACATCAAAAATTCTGAAGAATCTTTATGAGGCTAGTTATTTTTAATTCTTAATATTAAAAGCATAGTATTTTGGCAGAGTATTTAAGTGTGCTGTCATACTAAATCCAATCCTGGTTAACTATCCTCACTGTTCCTTTCTCAGACTAAGAGAATTTTAGGGACAATGCACTTTATTATTCACTATACTATACTGCTACTTAAATCCAGCAGTTCTGAAGCTTAATTTGGCTATTAATATCTGCTCACTTACTACACAAAAGAAAACTTTAACATACCCACAGTACTACTGGGAGGCTCGGGAGGCAGTGATATTTCTCTGTTCAAATGCATGTCTTCTAATAGAATATTCTCATCATCTTGCAATAGATTGTCTTGAAAAACATAATAAATACTTTTGTCATACAGACTGAATCTGTCATTTGTTCACTAAACATTTATTGACATTATTTTATGCAAGGCATTGTGAAGAGATGACCAGACTTTTAATATAACCTGGAAAAAATTAAGTATATTTGATATAAAGTTAACAATCTTTATAATATGTACATTTAATTTTCTCAGTGTTTGTCTACCATATTTCTATGATTTTATACTAATATAATAATATAAACATAAAACAATAGTGTAAAATACTGGAAAGATCCTTTAAAGTAGCTATGCTACATTTTGTGTTAAAGACAATGTTTATGGCACATGATCTCATGTATTTTGTGAGGGATATATTAACCTCAATCTTTCCTCTTCAAAAATAATTAGGGTTTTGTAAAACTAAAAATAGGAAGTAGTTTTTAACCTCTATGGAAAATATGTTAAAACATGTAGCTATTTACTTTGACCTAGTCTAAATGTACACAAGTTTAAAAACTTGTGTAAAAATTAGTTGACCTAAATGACACAGAAACATGTAAAATTTTATTTTGATGTAATAAATCTACTAATACATTACAGTAATTTGATTGAAAGACATATCTGAATTCTACATGACCAGATAGCATACCAATCATTTCTCCTGCAGCTCCTTCATCTCCAAATCCATCTCCACTATCATAGAACAAAGATTTTTCTCCAATGAAACTCCCAGAACTATGTTCAATGAAAGGACCACTGGAGTTCAGCAATACGTTGTCATCGAAAAAGCTATGTCTTCTGAGAATTTCAGATTCCTCCCCTAAAAAGTATACATCATTATGCTGAGTTAGTCATGGAAACACACACTTTTAGGGGTAGAAGAAGTTGAAATATTATTTAATATATTACATCCTTGTTTATGAATGAGAAAATGAAAGCTGAAAAATTATTTGAATTATTCTACTAAAGACGCGTAATTAATCATCAGACTAGATTTCTAATTTAATACTCTTCCCAATACAAAAGGAAAAAATGCTAAACCATTAGGTAGAATTTATAGTTGGAATATAGTTTTACAATTTCCTAGAAGGTAGAAATACTATGGAAGTAGAATAACTTTTGGTACTTCAGTTCCACTTGACCACATATTATTTCCTATCACTTCTTTTTTTTTTAATTTTTATTTTATTCATATGTGCATACAGTGTTTGGGTCATTTTCCTCCCTTCCCCACCCCCTCCTTTACCCCCCCCGCCCCCTCCCTCTCCCCCCCCATCCCCTCGCTACCCAGCAGAAACTATTCTGCCCTTATCTCTAATTTGTTGAAGAGAGAGTATAAGCAATAATAGGAAGGACCAAGGGTTTTTGCCAGTTGAGATAAGGGTAGCCTATACAGGGAGTTGACTCGCATTGATTTCCTGTGCATGTGTGTTACCTTCTAAGTTAATTCTTCTTGAACTAAACTTTTTTCTAGTTCCTGGTCCCCCTCTCCTATTGGCCTCAGTTGCCCCAAAGTATCTGCTTTAGTTTCTCTGCGTTGAGGGCAACAAATGCTGTCTAGTTTCTTAGGTGTCTTACCTATCCTCACCCCTCCCTTGTGTGCTCTCGCTTTATCATGTGCTCAAAGTCCAATCCCCTTGTTGTGTTTGCCCTTGATCTAATGTCTGCATATGAGGGAGAACATACGATCCTATCATTTCAAAAACAATTGCTTGACAGTTTTATCCATCATTAGAGTTTGGGAAATAGGGACCATATTTGCCTTCTTAGGAAAATAGAAAGATAGGTAAAATACTAAAGAATGGGTTTGCAACAATCATTTAATAAATATTCATTGAATATAATAGGAGTTGGAGATAAGAGCACCAAAAAGGACAAGCCCAGCCAGCTATCATTAATGGAGCAATTATTATGTGCACTAGATTATGCAACAGAAGATGATGTTATAAGCCTCATCGTACAAATGAGGAAACACATCACAGAAAGGTTTTGTAATCTGTGTACAGTCACACCCTAATAAACAACACAGCCAGGATCTGAACCCAGCTCTCTTTAACTCCAAAATCTGCATTTTGGTAGTCACAATGTTATACTGATAGTTACAAGGGACCAAAAGTCAGCTCTGGCATGCTTTTTCCCTGGGTCTGAACCCCAAGAGGTCAGAAGTTGGTGTTTTTCTTCCCTTCAAAAACCCAAGTTAGTGTTAGACAGTAGAGAAAATCATGAGGTATCACTCATATTCAGCATTCTTCTATAGACCTACATCTTAAAAGGAAGAGTTGAAAAAAAATCATCTTTCACACTGGAGTGAAGATTTGCTCAATGAAAAAGGTTAAGTTACTTTTCCAAAAAGAACTAAGAACATGTTGACATCATTCAGGTGCAGCTTGATAGCTCCCCTCCAAAAAACCAGCCTTGGTCATTCAGAAAAGAACACTTATTTGTTTTCTTTTTCTTTTTTTGATGGTTCTATGGTTTAAACTCAAGAGAATAACACTTTTGAACAGACACGATAGTCTCAGCATTGAGCATCACAAGAATCTGGGATTAAACTGATCATGGTGGTGGTTCATGCCTATAATCCCCACATTCAGGAGACTGAAGCAGAAGGATCAGGAGGTCAAAGCCAACCCGAACTATATACCAAGACCCTATCTCAAAAAAGTTGGAGGGAAGCTGGAGGTGTGGCTCAAGTGGGAGAGAGCTTGCCTAGCAAGTTCAAATCCTTGAACTCAGTACTATAAAAAAAGAAAAAGAAAATTAATCTGAGATTACAAAAAGGAAGAAAAATTACATTCAATATTATATTATAATCCAGGACAGGGTATATAAATATTAAACATTTCTTAAGGATAAAAGGCTTGAAGTAGTTTTTGAAGAAGAGAAAAATCACATATTGGTAGAGAGTACTAAAAGGCAAGAATAAAGAAAATAACCTATGAGGTTGCTAGAGTATCTCAACTTTACAGTTATAGCAGTAAAGCTCAGTTAGACAATCTTCCCGATGCACACAGCAAGCCAATAGAGAAAGCTGATTCAAACCCATGTCTGTTGATCTGCTAAGAACATGTTATTTCCACTTTTTAAAATTATTTAAGATACAGAACAATGAACAATTAAATTGTATTGGTTAGATTGTAAGACATATGTTTGAATAGAGTAGAATGTTTATATTAAGGGTAAAACAATGCTGACAAAATAAAGTGATAAACTAGTAGATGGCCATGAGGATACTCAGAGGAATTTGATATAGTAAGTCATAGGGACCCAAAGTACTTAAGAAAAAGAATGTAATAGAAAAATAAAGGAACTTAAAAACAATTGCTTTTGTAGAGATATGTAAAATGTAGGAAGAGAAGAGGTATTTGCAGGAGGATATCACAGTATTCGAGACCTTTGATATTAGTAAACTATTTTGATGGCTAAGAAAACAGAAGACCCAAGAGACATCTCAAATGGTTTTTAAGTCAATCAACACTAGTATGCATCTGATAGAATGTGTAGTTGAAAGTGATCCTAAAGTTTCCTCATGCCTGAAGAAAAATAGTAGAATCTGCAAGAAATTATATGTTGGGCAATAAAGAATATTATTATGTTTTTGTCAATGTGTTACATTTCTAGATCTGGAGTCACAGCCAGTAAGAGACCCATTCCACTCCAAATATGTGGACTGTGGACCAGTACTGATCCATAACAAAGTAAATATAGCAACTAGAAGTAAGTGTTTAGATAGATGTATAGCAATTTGACAGTGTAATCTTATTTATGTTGATTCTGATAACAAAAACTTAAGGCTTGAATTTTGTTTTCAAACTTTTAATTTTACTAGTGATTCATTTTCACTTCTATAATTTATTCATTTTATACAAGAGTAAAATATAATACAGACATTGGAAATTGACAAAAATATAAAGCTAGTCCTTTGCCACATATTTTCTGAGAAATACAACTATAGATAGCAAGTTATATATATATATATATATATAGAAGGATAATGAGAGTAAGAAGTGGAGGTTAGAGAAGGCATACAAATATGATACAAGACAGATAGTGTTAGATGCCCCCAAAAGAACAAATATTATGTAGTTTAGTTATACCATCTCACTTCAATTTTACCCAAATATATTTTAACATTTAAAAATCAGCTTTTATTTCATAATCATTCAGTGTGGTAATATTTGTTCCTCCTTTCCCCTAAGCTGTTTTAAAAATCTGTTATTTTGTTGGAGGTGTGGCTCAAGTGGTAGAGGACTTGCCTAAAATCTCTTATTTTATAACTGATATTTATCATACACCAGAGAAAATATATTTGAAGGCATTTTAGCAGCATACATATAAAACCTTGTATATATGTAACTATAGCAACTGTTTGTCTCTCTTCTAGCCTGAAGCTTGAGGGAAGGAACTGCTTCTTTAAACTGGTATCTCATGTGTTTGTGATAGCACCTGACATATAGTAGGAATTCAATAAATGGCTATACACTGAGAAAGGAAGTATACCCTAAGATTTAGCCATGGCATTGACATCTAAACTAGAAAAAGGCAAGGGAATTTTTATCTGGGAATTATACTTAAGCATGAAAATACCCATTTTATAGATATTTCTACTGGCATTGTTTAGTACAAAAATGCAAATATATTTATGACTTAAATTTCGACTTCTCAAATATTCTCACCAAAGCTCCCAGCTTGAAAAAGTAGATCATTGCCATAATCTTCTCTAAGTGTAATTTCTTCTGGTCTGCTTCGGTTCTGAGTAAAATGTTCTGAAACATCAACAGCACTATAGAAAAATGTAAGTTTGAGGAAAACATTTGAACAGAACATAATGATTTTATGAACACACATTCAGATACTGTTTTAGGTCTGAAAAGACCTAAAACAAAATCCAAGTTTTAATAGCCAGGCATGATGGCTTAGTTCTGTAGTCTTAGCTACTTGGGAGGTGGAGATTGGGAGGATTGAGGTTTGTGGCCAGCTTGGGCAAAAAGTTCAAGAAACTCCATCTCAACCAATGACTGGGCATGGTGGTGCATGCCTGTTATGTGGGGCATCTCAGCTATGTGGGGAAGCACAAATAGGAAGAGCTTGGTCCAGGCTGGCCTGGGCATAAAGCAAGACCCTGCCTCAAAAATAACCAAAGCAAAAAGGGCTGGCAGCATGGCTCAAGCAATAGAGTACCTGCCTATCAAGTGCAAGGCCCTGAATTCAACTCCCAGTACCAACAAAACAAACAAAAACCCCCAAACCATGTTTTATTATAATACAGGACAGTTTTGTTTATATCAATAATATTATTTATAAATACAACTTTTAAATACATAATATACATAAATCATTTCCAGGTTGCCAAACCTAGTTCTCATCTTAGTCCTTATTTAACTTGTGCTAACAAACAGCATTTGAAATAGATGTCCACTTCTGCTAATGGTCTCTCTAGATTTATATGTTGAAATCTAATCACCAGTGTGATAGTATTAGGAGGTGAGGCCTTTGGGAGACTACTAGGTCATGAGGTTGTCTTCATGAATGGGATTAGTGCCCTTATGAGGCCCAGAGTGCTATCTTACTCCTTTCACCATGTGAGGACCCAACAAAAAGACTGCCATCTATGAGGCAGAAAACACACTCTCACCAGACACTGAATCAGCTGGCACCTTGACTTTGGTCTTCCCAGCCCTTGGGGCTGCTTTAACACAACACATTAGACTGGGTAATTTATAAACAACATAAATTCATTATGCACAGTTCAGGAGGTTGGGAAATCCAAAATAGAGGTGCCAGCAGATTCAGTGTCTAGTGAAAGCTTGTTCCTTGTAGACTGTGCCTTCTTGCTTAGAAAGCTTCCTCAGGTCTCTCTTATAAGGGCACTGATCCCATCCATGAGGGCTTTTATGATCTTAATCACCACTTAAAGGACCCACCTTTCAATACCATCACCGTTGGGGATTAGCTTTCAACATCTGACTTTAGGGGAGCACACATTCAGATCAAAACCATACATTGTCCAAAATCTAACTTATTTCTTTTTCTCTCCCTTTTTAAAATTTGTCATTCCCTAGTTATCCTAATTTCATTAAGTGGTAGCTCCATTTTCATGCCCCAAATTACAGAGTTATTCTTTACTTCTTTGTCTTAGAGTCATTTTCAATTCATCAGCAAATCCTATTGGCTCTGCTTTTCACACATATCTATAATCTCACTTCTACCATCTTGATATGATGAAGGCTGAAAGCTGATTACAGATACAATCTTCCCTCCCCTGATTTTCTTACTGCAATAGTCTTCTCAACAGGCTCTTTGCTTCCTTTCTTTCCCATTTACAGTTAAGTACCCAAAGGGAGCATGTTGAACTCAAGTCAGATCTGGTTACTACTCTATTCTCTACTCAAAACCTGCCTATACTTACTCTCTGAGTAAAATAAAAGTCTTATCATTCCCTACAACACTCTACAATACCTGCACGCCCTGCTACCTCTCTGGTCTCATCTCTACCACTCAGTCCTTCATTCATTCCATTCCAGTCTTAGTTCCTTCCTTGCTGTTCCTTGAAAATGTCCAGTGTCCTTAGGACTTTTCCACTTGTTCTACCTGGAACATTTTCTTTCACATCATTGAATGATGTGTTCCTTTAGCTCAGGTTTCTGTTCTTATCAGAAAATCCTTTCCTGACTATCCTATTATTTATTTTTATTTTTTGCAGGGCTAAGGATTGAACTCAGGGCTTAAACCTTGAGCCTCTCTACCAGCCCTTTTTTGTGATGGGTTTTTTTTTTTTTTTTTTGAGATAGGGTCTTGCAAACTATTTGCCTGGGCTGGCTTCAAACCGCAATCCTTCTGATCTCTGCCCTCTGAGTTGCTAGGATTACAGGCGTGAGCATTATTTTAGTTTTTACTTGTCATCATATTTGATCATCTGATCACCTCCTGGAATATTGTATATTTACTTTTTGGCTTTTTTGTCAATCTACTTCAACTGAAATGTAAGATCCATGAGGTCAGGAGTTGTGTTTTATTCATTGCTATCTCAACGACTACAACAGTGCATAGCATAGGAAAGGCACTCTAGGAATATTGACTGAATTAATAGATGAATACACTGTCAACACTGCAAGCTACATTTAATAAATATGATACATGTTATTGTTGTACTATGAAGTGTCACACTAAATTTAATTGTCAACTGAATATGTACTTGTTCCTTTGTTATGAACATCCCATTTACCTTCATGAAATCTGAATATGAAAACAATTAAATATCAAGAAAATCATTAGAAAGGAAATAAATTTACTTCATATTATGGGTGTCAAAATCATGAAATTCTTCTGGTAATGTGATAGTATTATAAGCTGCTTCAAAATTCTCTTTTGGGAGGTCAACCAGTCCTAAAAAAAATTAAAAACACATTCAATAAGCTATGGTGCTATTTAAGTATAAGAAACTTCCAATTAAAACTTTATTGTCTCTCACTGTACTATTGTTTACTCTAACTGGATTCCCTGTATCCACTCTCTGCAGTCCATTCTCTATAAAGCATCCAGGGTGATATTTTTCAAAAGCAAACAGATTAGATAACTCTGATGCTTAAAATGGTTTAGCAACTCCCCCAGTACATCAATAAAATCCAAATCTCTAATTGGGCCCTTTTCATCCCTGTGAGCCTATCCTGTATCATCTAAGGACACTCTCTTCCTCACTTATTATACTCTAAGCATACTAGACTTTTTGTTCCCTGAAAGTCAGGCATTTTTTCATGTCAAGACCTTTGCTCTTGCAGTTTCATTTGCCTATTATGCCATTCCCTCAGGGACTTTTTATGTGGCTAGGTACTTCTCATTTTTCAAGTCTGAGCTTAAATTCTATCCCTTCAGAAAGGATTTTCCCAACTATCCTAACTAAAGCAAACATTTTCTGTTGCAGTGCTCTGTTTATTTTCTTCTATAGCAAAGCACAATCAATAATTATTATAAGTTTTTAAAACTTTTTCATTATTTGATTTCCTTACCAGACAGAAAAAGACCTTACTTATCTTGTATGCCCAGAGCCAAACATGGTTGGCACAAAGTATGACCTCAATTAATATTTGTAGAATATGTAAATGAAATAATAAATGAATGGGTGAACCATAGTCGGTATGAGTACAAATCTACCTATGGATTCTGTAGATATTTTAAACAAAGAACATTTGATTCAACAAATGTTGACTGAGGAATTGATACATGCAAGGTACTAAGATAGGTATTGTAAGAGGCTCAAAAATGGCTATGACAAAGATGCTTCCCTTCAGGGAGCTTGAAGATCAAAGATAGGGAAAAAAACCTGTATTGAAATAACCATGGTACAAAATGGAAAATGATGGCTGTCTTAAAGGGGAACACAAGCTATGTAAATTAAAATTTGAAGGCACTATACAACACACATAAATCTTTAGCACTTTGGAATGCTTAGGAATTTTAGTAATATTTCATAAATAACATGCAACTTAGAAAATTGAGGATTCTAAAAGCAATGACAATTATTAATATTTATATTTTGTCAGTCATACTATTTCTAATTTCTCTCATAAAGCAAAAACAGACATGACAAACTAAAGGAACCATTAAAAACAGAATATGGGTTTCTTACACAAGTGTAGTGGCTTTAAGTGTATTTCTTACATAAATACAAAGGAACATTAGCATTTTGGAAAGCATAATCTTTTCCTGCAAACAAGGGAAAGAATGTAATTTATCCCTTAACCATGGAAAGGTAGATTCAGTCAACACAAGAAGAGTGAGACAAATTAACACTGAATGTATACCTGGGCGAAATGTCATCTTCATTTTAAGAAATGCTTCACTGCAATCTGCCAAGAGATACTTTGCCTTCCTATTATAGATTCGAACAACTCCCAAAAGAAGGTGTCCTGAAGTTCGAAGAGCAATTTTCACCTTTTGATAATTTTTAAAGTATTAGAATAATAAAAATTAGGTTTATAAGTCCTGTTATAAAATCATAAGAATTTCTTCTCTTTAAAAAGCACATATTTTGTATTCTTATTTAAAATAAGCCATCTAACCTTCACCTTACTTATAAAATGATTTTTTTTTTTGCTTATTCAACAAAGGTAATGTGATGTGGCACTTAAGTGAAGTATGCTATTATTAATATTAGGGGAAGAATATAAACTCTGTACTCAAGCAAACTTGGTATCAAGCCTTGGCTCACTTACTGAGGCTGAGTCACTTAACCTTCCTGAACTTCAGTTTACTAAAAATGGCTACAATTTATTATATACTTATTTTGTGTCAGGTATTGTCTAAAGAGCTTTTCATACATTATTTAATTTTAACAATGTCTATTCACAGAAAAAAAACTCAGGCTGAGATACCTTAGTGGTATGCCCACTTAAATGGCAATAAGCAAGTATTATATATAAATTTGACCAACTGAAAAGTCCCTACTAATCACCATACTTCACTAAGCCTAAAAGGGCTGATTTTATAGGCTTGTTGTGAAGATTAAATAAATAAACACAAAGTCTAGCCCAATGCCTAACACAGCATCCTTTCAATTATAATTGAAAATTATAATTTTAATGCAAATTCTAATAGCTGCTTTATAGTGTTTTATAATGAACATAGTACTTTATTGTTTACAACATGTTCCACATTATTTTATTTGCAGTCAATCCTTTTTCTTTCTACTCTCCCCATTCACTTATTTCTTCATTCATTCCTAAGAAATACTTACTAGGTACCTACTATGTATATAGTATTTTAGGGAATAAGAAAGGATGACAAAAATATAAAATATGGCCTTTATTCATCAGGGTCCAATCTAGTTTTGATAAATGTATGAATTAATTATCAATAGAAACATTTATTGCTCAGACAATAAACACTATAGGAATTAAGAGATCATTTGAAAAGTAAAGTTGTCTTGGAAATGTATTTCATGATATAAATGCATTTTAATTCCTTTCCTCTCCAGAAGTCGTAACAAATACAAACTATCATTTAAATCAGTAACATACCTTAGGTGAAATTATTTTCTTAATGGTTATCTCTAGATTACATTCAAATACATGGGCCTTTGTGAGTTTCTTCTCCCAGTGAGCTGCAAGCCATATTTTGGCCAATGGCCCTCGTTTACTCATAAGCACATGGGTGTAAAACATGTTGCCTGTATTCCTTAGCTATATTTAAGGAACTAGAGAGAACATGAAAAGATATTTAAAATTTGACAACAGAAACCTTTCACTGCTATTTTATGGCAAGCAAAAACACTTTATTATATAAAATAACACTCAGATTATCTTCTAGGTTAATATATTATTCAATGCAAATTATTCTCTTGTAAAAAAAAGAACTACATTTGGAATGTAAAATTATAAACTAATGACAGAGCACTAGCACGTCATGAATCACGTCTGGTTTAGATGCATCCTAATCAATGACCTCTTCTTAGAATTTATTTTATTCTACAAAGGATTTGAGTTCTTTGTTACTGATATGCTCAAGTAAATAAAGGAAGAAGGCTTAAAAAATGGGAGACAAAAAAAGGACACAACAGAATGGGAAAAGCTGGACAAAACTAAAAAACAGGTCATCTTCTTTCCAAAACTTAAGAATTTGGTTAAGTGTTGGATCACTGACTTATATATATAGGCAATGAATTTCATTGTTCTCTTCCAGATACTCTGGTTTACTCAAAAATATATTAATTTTTGTAGTTAAAATAACAGAATTCCAAAGGATCATAAAGTGAAAAAAGAAAAAGGAAACTATAGGAAACAAGAAATCAAATTTAAATGTTTTGAAATAAGAATAGCAAAAGAAAACCTTCAGTTAAAACATAACAAGAAATTAATGTACTCCTACAAAGCGTACTATTCTTGGTAACAGTCTAAGACTCAGTTACAAAGCCAACAAAGAGAAGGAATGTCATAGCACTTTGACTCCTAGAGAACAAGCAATTTTAAACTGCCATTGTGGAAGCTTCTTTTCTAATGTTTTGGTAAAAGAGAACACTGAACCAACACAAACACAAAGTCAGCCACAGAATTAAAAACGTAGGCGAACTTTGATCAATGCCCATTTCCACCCAAAGAATCAAATCCTTATGTCCAAACTAAAGGTTATGTACTCTACGAAGCCACAGCTCCCATGAGGTGCCTAGAAATTTTGTTATTTATGGTTTGTGCCTTGTGTGGGCTCCACTTTCTTTGTACAGAATATGTTTTGTATCTGGAATTTTGTTATCTTCCAATTTATCTTTAAAAATTGCTCCCAGGTGTGAGATACTTAAAAACCAACCTAGCCTTCTGTGGGTGGCTCACACTTGTAATCCTAACTACATGGGAGGCTGAGCTTGAGAGGCACTCCTAGCAGGGAGTTCCCACAATCCTATCTCGACCAATAGCTGGCTGCCGATGGTTCACATCTGTCACCCCAGCAATTTGGGAGGCTGAGCTGGGGAGGATCTTGGCTCCAGGCCAGCCCAGGCAAAAGTTTGCAAGACCCTGTCTCAACTGGGGGTGGGGGCGTCTGGGGTGGGGGTGGGAGAGGAGCTTGGTGTAGTGGCTCACACCTGTCACCCCAGATACTCGGGAGGCTGAGATCGCGATTATCTCGATTCCAGGCAGCCCAGACAAAAGTTTGGGAGACCACATCTCAACCTTTGGTTGGGATGGTGGTGCTTGCCTGTCATCCCACCTACTGTGGGAAGCTAAAATAGGAGGATGGGGTCTAAAGGGGAGACTCCCATCTCCAAAATAACCAGAGCTAAAAGGCCTGGGGGAGTGGCCCAAGTGGTAGAGTTCCTACCTAGCAAGCGCAAAGCCCTGAGTTCAAATCCCAGTACTGCAAAACAAAATTGAAACCCCGTAATTTAATATTCCCCCAACACCGATTTCCCTGGGCATATTCGCCACCACCCCCCCCCGCCCCGCCATGCCCCACAGGGCCTGGAGTTGTTTTTGGACGGAATTTACTTCGTGCAAAGTAGGAGGCGGGCCCAGGCTAACTCGGGGCAGGGGCGAGGGCCCCGCCACACACGGCTCTCGGAGGGAAGCCGAGGCCAGAGGGAGGCCAAGAACCGGGGAGCCCGGGGAGCGCTTCCAGCCCCACGAGGGCTGCAGGCCGCGGCGTTTCTTCCTCAGGCCCGGCCCGAACCGCGAGCTGAGGCGCCGCGCCAGGCGCGCTTCGGAAGGGGATATAGGGGGCCGCGGACCCCATCACCCAGCCTGCCAACTGCCCTCGGCCCACCCCGCCTCACAGGCTGCGCCCTACTTTCAGCGCAGGGTCTGAGGCGAGGCGCGCCGTTGCAGCCGCCGAGACGAGACGCAGAAGGCGAGGGCCTGCGACGAGTCTGAGGCGAGAAGCTCTCCGCTGGGCGACAGCTACGCACAGGGCGTGGCGTGGGGAGGCGTGGCGCTAGGGCGGCGGGGCGGAGCATGCAGGAAACAGGCGGGGCTGGGGGCTTGGAGGCGTGGCTCCAGTCTGGCTGGGCGTGGCGATAGGGCGGGGCATGCATGAGATGGGCGGGGTTTGTGGTATAGGGCGTGGCGGGGCGTGGCGCAAGGGCGGCGGGGCGGGACAAGAGCAGGACATGCAGGGAATGGGCGAGATTATGGGCGGGCGCCCTGTCCTAGCGCAGGCTCAGGAACTGTCCTAGGGCTCTGGAAACAGACTTCTGACACCTGTAAGGGGCATGTGGGAGACTGGGCCTGGGTCCTCTAGTCTCACTGCGAAAGGGAATTCTTTCTCATCTGTGAACACCCTTCTGATGCAGTCCAGTCGCTTCCATTTACTAGGTAGAGGTCCCTCAAGAAATTTCTCCTCTGTAAAATGGAAATGATGAAAATAAAAGCACCTTCGCGTATGGTATGGTAAGAAATAGATGAGATGATTCATGTAAAGAGCCTGCAATAGATAAATATTGGGTGTCATTGTCGTTATTATTAAAAAGATCATTCACATTAGTCGCCCAATAGTATCCACAAACAAAAAGTTGGTCGACCTTGTAGAAGGTCATCTACCATTCCCAACTATGCAGCTTGAGCTTTTCCTCTCTAGGCCATCTCCTTATCACACAAGAAGGGAAACTAGTAATTACCTGTGAGGTTGTTTACAAGAAGGAAATGTTTATTTGGGCTCCAGTTTTAGAGGTTTCAGTCCATGGTCAGCTGGTTCCATTGCTATGGGGCCTATGGCAAGGCAGAACATCATGGTGGGGAATATGTGGAGGAGGAGGTGTTTTTTACCTCATGATGGCCAGGAAGCAGAGAGAGAGGAAGAATCACTGGTCCCAATATTCCTTTCAAGGGCATGCTCCAATAACCTAACTTCCTTCTGTCAGGCCCTACCTCCTAAAGTTTCTACCACCTTCCAATAGCACAGCAGGCTGGCGATGAAGCCGTTAGCATGTGGGCCTTTAGGTGGGGACATTTAAGATTCAAATCATAACACTACATTTCTAGATTTTATGAGGTTTGGAATAATTCTCAGCTTTTTTAAGTTTGTAATTTGCTATTTCTTCTCTCATTCTAAAAAAACAAACAAAAAAAAACTCTTCCTAATCTAATTCAGTATTTGTGGCTTCATATTTTTTCTCTTAATGAGTACCCTAAATTGTATATGCTTCAGGTTCTACACACTTGAATCTGTCCCTGCTTGGTCTTCTTCCTCTTGCAACCTGGGCTCCAGCCATATTGGATACCTTCTGTGCCCTTGGTTTAGGAAGTATCAGAAACATATTTGTAAATGAACGAGTGAATGATTCAAAATCTGGAATGCTAGAAAGTTAACTGCATGAAAACATGAGTTTTGTCTGTTGATACATTCTCACATCCCAGACAGCACCTGGTGCACAATAAGTTGTGTGTGTGTGTGTGTGTGTGTGTGTGTGTGTGTGTGTGTCAGGGGAGGGGGGTGTTCCTGGGGATCGAAGCCAGGGCCTCCAGCATGCCAGGCAAGCACTTAAACACTGAGCTACACTCCCAGCCCTGACAGAACGCATTTTTTCATACTTCTTCAGCTACAAACAATACTTCTTTCCATTGTCCCCAGTCATTCTATCTTTATGAAGAAGTTTCCCAAAGTCCCCTCCACAGCCCTGAGAGATGTCAATTTCATTTTGGAGTTAAGGCTAAATGGAGAATCAGAGAAGAGACTTGCCCCAAGTTATTCACTTAGTGGCAGAATTGAAGTTCAAAGCCAGATCTCTGGGACCAGAAAGCCTCATCTTCCATGATCCTCCCAACACAGTGCCCCACAACAGGGAAGCAGATGGTGAAGGAGCCAGTCCTGCCACCCAGAGCAGCCAATTCCCTGAAGGATTGCTCTACAGGGACACTAGATGGCGCCCAAATACAAAGCACGGTAGTTACCCTCCTCTCCGCATGGTAAGGAAATAAAAACATTTGTTAGAAGCCCAACTTTGGTTGTCAATTTCATTTGTTCTCAATTGTCCAGCTTTTGCTTTCTTGGTCTTTGCTTTTTGGCTATCAGTCTCTCTGTAAATGGAATGCTTACTAGCCAGGTGATGTGTTATGATGCCTGTGCATATTAGGTGTTCAATTAGGAGTTCTTCTGACAAGGCCCAAGGAAATTTCCAGGGACAGTCATTCAGCGTCTTTGGGGCATTGGTCCCAGGACCTCAGGATGTTCAAGTTCATTATGTAAAATGTGGCATTTGCATACAATTTAGCACAGTTTACTCCATGCTTTAAATCACCTCTAGATTACTAGTAATACCCAGTACAAGGTAAACATTGTGTACATCGTTGTTACACTGTATTGTTTAGGTAATAATAGTAAAGGGAAAGTCTGTATGTGTTCAGTACAGGCACAATTTATTTTTCTAAATATTTTCTGTTCTCGGCGGCTTGAATTCAATGATGTAGAAATGGAGGGCTGACCAGTTGTGAAATTCTTAGACCTGTACATAGCCAGAGAATGATTTCAAATGCAATGTGAGGAAAATTTCTATTTGTTGATTTACAACTGTGGTTAAAAAAAAAAACTGCATTGTAATCCCTGGAACTTGCTAATGTTATCTTATATGCAAAAAAAAAAAAAAAAAGTAAATCCTTTGTAGCTGTCACTAAATTAAAGATCTTAATAATGAGAGATTATCCCAGCTTATCTGGGTGGGCCCTAAATGCAATCACCTGAG